AAACCAAAAAACAAAACAAAAAATCTATCTGGGAGAAATCAGGGGTGGTGGTCCACGCCTATAATCCTGGCATTCAAGAGGCTGAAGCAGAAGCATCACCCTGAGATTGAGGCCAGCCTGGGCTATATAATGAGTTCAAGGTCAGCCTAAACTACTAATACCAACTCCCACAATGAATGTAATCATATATACTGGAAACATGTACTATTTTTAAAAAACCAGTTCTTGTCAAGTGTACATGTACATGCCTGTAGTCCCACTCTCGGGAGGCAGAGAGGTATGATTGTTGAGTTGAGGCCAGTTTGAACTGCATAATGAGACCCTGTATCAAAAAAACCTATACACACACACACACACACACACACACACACAGCCAATTCCCCCAAATTAGGTACTTGATGAATCTGTCTATCTATCCATATCTATCAGTCATGAAACAAAACAATTATAAAAACAGAAAATAGATTAGTGGTTATCGTGGGTTTAGAATGTGACTATAAAAGTGCGCCCTAAAGCCAGCATAGTGGAACACTCCTGTAATTCCAGCACTTGGGAGGCTGAGACAGGAGAATTGTTTGCAAGTTTGAGACCTAACTGGGCTACAAAGTGAGTCCAAGGCCAGCTTGAGCCACATAGCGAGACCCTTAAAAAGACAAAGAATAATTAAGAGATTAATAGTCTTAAAAAAGACAAAGAACAGTTAAGAGATTAATAGTCCTGGCACAGTGTCTATCTCAGGAGTCACAGCAGTGGCACGGAGGGATGGAGAAGTAAATTTTAAAGGATAGTCACATGATACTTCTAATAGGTTTTGGTGAAATATTAAACAGGGGACGGTAGGTGACAGAGTTAAAGATGATTCTCAAATTTTCATCTGAGCAAACAGAGGCACTATTTACTGAGCAGATGTGGTTTGAAAAAAGAAATGAAGCAGTGTTTTCATGTTCAGGATTGAAGTCAGGGTCTTTGCACTGAGCTATATCCTTAGTCCCATTTATTAATGAGACTGGGTCTTGTTAAATTGCTATACTGCCTAGGTTGTGCTCCACTTTGTGATCATCCTGCCTCAGCCTTCCAAAGTGTTGGAAATGTAAGTGTGAGCCATTATATCTCTGGAGTTTAGTTTTGGGTATGAATGGTGATTCTGTGTTATCTAAGAGACATTTAAATAGAAATGCTCAGTTAACTCCTGGCTATGCATGCTTGGAGTTCAGAACTCTGGGATGGATATTTAACTTGATAATGATAATACAGAAGCTAGGAAGATGGACAATACTGCCAAGAGGGAGAAACCACACAGCCACTCTTACTATAAATGACTTCCAATTTTTTAAGTACTAGCTAAAAAGAGGTCAGTCTAAACCAGGTGTAGTGGTACATGCCTATAATTCCAGCACTCAGGAGGCTGAGGCAGGAAGATTCCAGCAAGATGAAAACCAGCATGGGCTACAGAGTTCAAGGCCAGCCTGAACTCCGTATCGAGACTCTGTCTTAAAAAGAGGTCAGTCTAGCAAGAGATTTAGAGAGGCCAGAAAATGAAAAAGAAAAGTATAAATGGTGTTGTACAAGACAACAGGAAGACGTTTCAAGAAAGAGCAAGTTGTCACCTGTGATGAAGCAGTGAAGAGATTAACTGTACTGACAAACAGAAATCATACACTGAATTTAGTAACCTGGGTGTCACCAAAACCTTTGTTGGGAAAACCTTAGGTGGGATGACAAAGGTTTGCACTGAGGCAGTCTATGGAGAAGGTGGGAGAAAAGAAGACAGTATTTAAAACCAGTTATCCCTGGAGAAAAAGGAGAAAGCATGGTGAATTCTGTTAAAAGAAGTTATGCTTAAATATTAATGGCTAAGAATAAGTTCAGAGGACAAGTTGAAAATTCATGACAGAAGTGGTAAGAATTGTCTGAGCATGCGGGAGATAGTGTTATCAAAGTGCTGGTAAAGAATTAGATCAGACAGAGGAGGCACCTATCTAATCTACACTAAGAAGAGAGGAAAGGAAAGAACCTTAGATAGGTGATTCCTTGACCATTTTTCTTTGTGAAGGAGAAGACAAGGTCATCTGCTAAAACTGAAGAGCTAGATTAAAATTTTTATTTCCAGAACCTATCTAGTGCCCAGGACACACATATTTAATAAGTTTATTTAATAAATAAAATATACAATTAGTGCTTTCCTCACGCTTATTTATTAGAGCCAATACTTGACTTTCTTCAAATTAGCCACTAGGCGGCAGTATTGCTGCCAATCTTTTTTTCTCTTAAATTCTTTAACACTGAAATTAATAGAAAACTCCAGTGTAATGTAAGTTGTAAAATGGTATTTCCCCAAGAAAACCCTGCTTAACTTTTAAATACACGTATACATGCAAACTAATTCATGCCCATTCACACTCGTGTGCACACACATTGTGGCAAAGTGCAGTAGGAGGGTTGTTTCTTATGCCAACCCCACAGTGCAATCAATCCTGATGCTCCAGGGGCAATAGTCAGCATTTTCCAGCATTTTTTTGGTAATTTCTCTAAAGCGCACAGCAAATACCCAATATGTCACTTATACTTTGATTAATCAATTAGAAAAGGATAAAAAAAACCTCTAAAAATGAATTCCTGACAATGTTTGCCAAAGTTTCATCCAAGCAATTTTTCCTACTTCTATCCATTTTCCCAAATGGAGAGGTAGGTTTTAAAACACAGCTTTAAATAACTGTAATGCACTTCACAAACTATGTTTCCCCCTTACCTCAGAAGCTTCGTGCACTGTTACAAAGGAGATTTGCCAATCTACAATACCATATGTATACCAGAAGCGGCAGCTATTTGGGGTATGTGTTTAGCAATGAGACTGAGAAATAACATCTTTCCAAGTTTGGTTCTAATGCATTTAGGCCTCGGAAGGAACTGGCAGAGTTCTAAATTGCAACAGAGTGAAGATATTATCAAAAAAAAAGTAGTCGTGAAGGCAGACTGTTCCCCCAAGAAGTTCAGGGTTATCCAGACTGGCAGGGAAACAGAACTTCCACAGTGGGAAGCACTTCCAGGTGTACTAGTTCAGCATGCTGCCCTAACCTAAGAAAAACTCACCGTCCTTTAGACAGATGCCTTCTGGCTGGAGCCACGGGAAGACAGGGAAGGAGAGGCTATGGTCGCCTCATTGCTAGGGTGTCAAAAGGGTGAGAAAGGTGACTGGCACAAAAGCCTCCAGACTTGGTTATCTTGAGCTAGTTGTTCTCCAACAAAAATATTCAAGAAATGGGTCATAGAATCTGGGTGACAGAGTTGAAGAGGTCATCAAACACAGATGCAGTTCTATTTGAATATTAACAATCACATTCTCTCACTGGACACTATTCTATTAGCTGTACAGTGTCTTTTATACATAATTTTTGAGAAACTCACTCGGACAAGGACTTTAAAAAATTATCAAAAAGTTAATAAAATTAATACTCCTTAACTTTAATTTAAAAAAAAAACAATTTTCCTAATGAACTGATACAATCCTTAACAAGAAAAAGTTTACTACTTTGGCTTCAATGACAGATAAACACTATCCTACCTCAGCACTACTATATGCTAAATATACAACCACTTTCAAAAATCATATGCTGAAGCTGGGCAGGGGAACACAGGCCTGTACTCCCGGCACTCAAGAGGCTGAGGCAGGAGGATCACTGTGGGTTCAACCCTATACTACATAGGCCAACAGGAACTACATAAGACGCTGTCTCAAAAAACCCAATCAAAAGTCTGCTCAATCTTTCGATTTTTCCCAGCAAGTGATCTAAGAGCTTGATTTCATTGACACACTTGCACTGCCCAACAACACTTCCTTTGAAAAACAGAATGGCATTTCCTCAGTCCAGAGGCCAGAAGTCCCTTGATTCTGATCGAGAAAGCGAAGACAGGAAACTGTTAAGCTTCTGCCTCCCATGGCCAGCCACTGATGTGGTGACAGAGGGCAGGGTCTATTCAGGGCTCCCCTGATGTATGGCAGGTGGAAAGTAGGAGGTAACCCCCACCCCCGCCAGCCCAGTGCTACAAGTCAGTGTAACAAGGGCTCCCACGAGAAGACGGAGCGCTGGACGCCTGTTAGTACGCTTAAAACTGCGAGCATCCGAGGACCGATTTCAGCCAGATTTCGGTAACTGGCAACATCTTGTACTTTGACCTCGCCAGGCACGGTATCCTCCAGCGGAGGTGTGCGGAGGGACAACTCCTAACTCCTCACCGTTCAGCACCAGCCTGTGCTACCTTCCTCTGATGCTGCCAGCCCCCCCCCCCCCGGAGGGAGAGGCTGTCCCAGCAATTTCTGTTATCCCTGTCGGTTGACACCACCTGGCATTTGCAAACCCTGATCTTTCCCGACCTCACACACCGAGGGCTGCAAAACACAAAACCCGGGCCAGTTGGGACCAAACTGCAGTGTCACCATCGAGGGGCGGAGGAGGGGGCGGCGTTTTGAGAGACATTCAGAATAAAGGGAAAGAAGGGGGACAAACAAATGAGTCACTTAATACGAGGACTGCACATGCCTCTGACGCTGCCCATAATGCAGCGGCGGCGGACTGGAAGGAAGCAGGCGGCCCCCGGGAGGGGCGGGCGGGAGGGCAGGCGGAGAAAGGGAAGGGGCGAGGGTGCGGGCGCCTCGCCCTTTGTGGGGCCCGCGCGCCGCCCCGCCGTCTACGCCCCCCTTCCCCGCCCGCCCCCCGACCCCGCAGGCTGAATCCGCTCGCGCTGCCGGGGCCCCCCAGCCCCGGGAGCCAACTCTCTCGGTCTCCAGAAACGATCGGTACAAACTTCCACACGGGGCTGAGTTCGGGGCGGGCGCGGCAGCCCGGGGAGCCGCGGGCTCCGCCCCGCCCCTCGGCGCGCACCTGTGACAGGTGTGCGGCCCCGCCGAGCCCCGCCAGCCCCGGCCCGCCGCCCGCGCGCCGCCCGCCCTCAGCCCCGGCGCCGCGGGGCGCCCCTCAGCGGCCGCGCCCGCCAGCACTCACATAGCGCCTCAACTTCTTCTCGGGGGGCGACTTCCTCAGCCAGCCGGTGCACACCACGTCGCCGCCGCCGCCGCTCATGGTGCCGGCCGCCGGGAGCCCGCCGCCGGGTCGCGCGGACAAGGGCGCGGGCTGCTGGGTCAGCGGCGCGGTGCGCAGTCGGGAGGGCGGGGCGGGCGGCCCGCGGCCGCGGGCGAGGACGAGGCGGCGCGCGCGCACTCGGCGCTCACGGGCAGCCCGGCGGGGGCGCCCGCCAGGAAGGCCGCGCGCTCGCCACGCCCACCGCCCGCCGCGCCCCCGCAGGGTGGCCGTCGCCGACGCAGGACGCCCGGGCTTCGGACCCCGGAGGCCCCGGCGCAGCACGGCGCCCGGAGCCGCGGCCCGCCAGCGCGCCCTCTGGGTCTGGTGTTTTTCCTGAAGCCTGCAGCAGCTGGCGCTGGAGAGGACCTCGCCCCTGCCGGCGATGGTGGCGGTGGGAGCGGAGCGGTGTGGTGGGAGAGGTTGCGCGCCCGGGATTGCACCTGGATTTTCTAGGGAGAGTCTTCAGAGAAGACATCTGAGGGCTTCTTGCGTTTCCTGGCCATTCCCAGAGTTTCAGGTTTCAGCGGGTTGGGATCTGGCAGAAATTAGTGACCCGCTTTCCTGCAGGGGTTTTATTAACTCGCACCCCCTTGGCAAGAGAAGGAAGGCACCTACGATGAGCCGGGAGCTTTAGCGGTCATTGGTTACATGATGGTCTTCATACATCTACAGAGTGGCCAGGCAATCTTGTCCCCATTTTACAGATAGTCAAGGTCTCAGAGCTACTATAATGAAGAGCCAAGTTTCTAATTCAGTTGGGGTGGAGGTCTTTTCAAGGTGAGGTATTGCTTTAAGGTCTACAGACCAGCTTTGGGGCCGCTCATTGCCGGAAACAAAGTCCAGCTGGCTCCCTCCCACACTACCACTGGGAAAGCAATTTAGAAGAAAACTCGTATGATTTTTTTAGTAATTGGGGAAGCAAAAATTAGTCAACGTACTTCACAGAGAGTTGAAGGGCAAAGTGATACAGAAGACCAAGAAACTGAAGTCAAAATTTCAAAGTTCCAGCTGACTCAGGCTGTGAGACCTCTCTGTAAACTGCGATTTAATCATACATTTCTCACTATATTGTGGTGAGTTCTGAGAGAAAGTATGTGGAAACACCTCACACCAGCACTTCGGGGGCGGGGGAGCCTCCTCCAAAAGACCACAAAAATGCCTTTACAGACATCATTAAAAGACAGGTCCTCTGGTTCACTGCTCTCGGAAGTAGATAGAAAACTATTTTATCCATGGGGGAACCGTGCTGCATACAAAGGATTTGGAGAAGCAGTCATCCTTACTGCCTTGTGTCATTTTAGACTGTTTATTCTGCTCATTTCTTGGTCGCCATGCAATGTAATTAGTCTTTCCAAGTAGTCTGACATCCTTTGTTCCAATAGATCTTGGTTGAGTTGGTTAATGTTCAGCCACTCCAGTTACTTCCCTATCATGTACTTATCTTTTCTAAAGGCTTGCTGACTTTCAGTATTCAGTGTGCTACTGGATAGAATGTAAACTATCACGCTATAGCAGAGCTCCTTTAATTTTAATTTAGGGATCCTTAAGCCACATACAAAGAGCTACCACCAGAACTGAGACCATTTGTAACTTTTGGCTTCAGTGTCTTAAACTCCTGTGAGACACAAATGCTGTATCAAAATACTTAAGTCTGCCAAATCAATCAAGAGGCAGTGACTCCCAACCAAAATAAAGTAATCCTCTGACTTCATTCACATGTGAGTCATAATGCCAAGTCTCTGGGATTGCAGTCTGAGAAATTTGCATGGTTTGGCTGCACTGAGGTTTGTGATGAAAGTCAGACGGACATATGCTCTATCTCTCCTTAGGACTAAAGTCTTCTTTTACATGTCCTCTGAGAGTTACGTGATTCAAGTCACAGACTGTTAATCCAAAGTTGGTTAGCATGAGGTTGCATTCTGCCAGAAACTTTTTAGGGTTTGCTTTTGTTTAGCAAAAGATCCTGTTGTTATGTACAATTCCACGTGGAAACAGAAAAGCTTGATATTTTGTGACCAGTGACAGAAGAGGGTCTCAAACTCAACAGGATACAGTATATGGGCTTCAGGAAGTCTTCTAAACACCCCCATCCTTATCCCAAAAATTAGAGACAGGGCCTCTTCTTCGTCCTTTCCTACCCGAACACTCAAGCACCGTTCCTCATCACTGCACTGTCCTGCGGGGGCTGCACAGCGAAAGGCAGGACTGCTGCTGAGGTCCCTGGCTGCACCCTGGAATGGATTAGTCTTCTGAGCCCGAGAGGCGTGCCAGGCTTGGAAACAGCCTTTGGACAGAACGTTCCTGTCTGGACCTTTACTAAACCCTCTCCACTCCCTGTTTTTTTCCCTCCCAGGAAAAATGGAAAATAAATTATGTGAATGATTTATTTACACGAGGGTGGGCGCCATCTATCGGAAAGAGCTGGCGTGACAGCTCCCGTAACCCCTGTAGGGACATGCATCAGTAAATTATTGCCGTAATTTAGGCAATTTTGATTAAAGACCACTGCTATTTCCTGGGGGCGGGGATTAATGACCGACTCCCAGAGCATTTTGGGCCATTCTACATTCTCATCAAATTCTCAGGAAACGACTACGTTACGGAAAGGGGGCACTATGAGCCCCGAGAAACGCACACCTGAGAAAAGAGCATGGACACCAATGTTGCCCCACTCCCAGTGACTCCTTTCTCCCTTCCCCACAAAACCTGTCTTCTAAAGGCTGCAGTGTGGCTTTGAATGTCATCAGCAACAGCCTATATCCGTGACTTTCTCAGCGCTGAGGGTTTGTGGCCAGTGGCAGGTGCATGGCTGGTGGAACACTCCCAGGAACGGGTTGGGAGGGCTGGAGAGCGAGCCGTGCTCAACTGCACACCAGGCTGGAGTGATTAGTACCGCTCACGGCAGGCCTGACGTCAGTGATTGCACTGGGGGTGGGGATGGATATTTGTGTGCCAGACCTTCTGCCTTTTCTCCCCTTCAGTTTAGTTGACAGGTTAATTTCAGAACTGAGTGCCGTATGCTAAAGTCAGTGTGACTTCATGCTCAAGTCAGTGAGCCACCTCAGCTGGTGACTTTCAGGACACGTGCCTCTCTTCTAAAGGTGTATGCTTGCTGGTTGCTTTGAGCCCATTCTGTTCTTTTCCTCAAATTACCCTTATTCAAGTCAACTCTTGGCACCTGGCCGAGGATGAGATCAGGAAGTGGGCTTGGGGGTGTGGTTAAGACCTGATTGTTCTTCCTCACTCTGGCTGAAAACTGAGGTAGTACTTAACATTATACTGGGTGGGAGGCATTTTGGAAATCAACTTCCGTTAAAAGTTTGAGCAAGTCCACTTTTTCAGTTTCTCTTCAGTGAATAACCAGAGCCATGCTAGTTGCTTGGTGGCAGTTAGGTTCCCTTAGGACTCTGGATAGGGTGGGACTATCACTGTTGCACAGCTCCTGCTGCAAACTTGTCATATTCTCCTAAGAACAGGCTGTCAAGGCTGGGCTGGGTGCTTTAGTATTTCAAGCCACCCTGTGCAGCTGGCACCTTACTTGCTCTGAGAGAGTGTGCCTAGCTTTAATTAGACCTTGAACATATGTGAAGAACATTTTCCCTAATGCTTACCAGCTTGACTTCGTTACACCTAATTACTTGTTAAGGAACTGGGATAGTAGGATTGTTTTCCTCATTTTTGTATCCCTAGAGCTAACCTAGCAGGGGTCAGGCACACAATGTTTGTTGTAAGAATAAATAAATAGGACTGGAGGCTCAACTCAGTGGTAGAGTGCCTAGTATGTACAAGGCCCTAAATTCAATCCCAGGTACCACCAGAAAAATAAAAACAAGTCTCTAAAACATAATTTGGCTGGGTTGTAGCTCAGTGCTAGTGTGCTTGCTTAGCATGTACAAGGCCCTGAGTTCGGTTCTCTGTACCACTAAATAACTAAGTAAAACTTTAAAGGATGACTTGTAGTAGCTGTGGACTACCATGCCATCCAGCACTGAGCAACCCCTGGCAGAACACAGTCTCTGTGAAAGTATTTATAAGTAGTTGGAGCCAAGTGTGGTGGCACATGCCTATAATCCCAAGACTCAGAAGGCTGAGACAGAAGGATCTCTGAACTATATAGCAAGACCCTGTCTCAAAAAGACAAAAATAGAAGAAGCTGGAGTGGTTATGCCATAGCCAGCAGCCTTGCTAGAGGGCTAAGAAGGTAGAGGGAATGTTTTAATTTGCTGATGGCTGTAACTCTTGGGGAATTTTAAAAACAATGACTCCTTTGACCTTTTTATTTTTACCTGCAGGCTCTACAGAGCTAACTTTTAACCCTCGATTTCCAAACTCAACACTTGTCCAGACTCCTCAGATAGTCTTCTTTCTGGGACTGAGTTTAATCTTTTTATTTTCTTCTGATATCTGCGACAGTCCTACAGGAACGTTAACCCTGAACTTCTTGTACGCAGATACAACATTAAAAAATTGGAGCACTGTCCCCTTTTCAAAGTGGTTTTATCCACCAGCTGACCAGAAATGCCATTTCCTCCTGCGCCAGTGGTGTGCACTGTGAGGATTTGTTAGTCTCTGATTTGCAGGGTATTCAAAGTCCTCAGGTCACCATCTCATCTGGCTCTGTGTTTCTACCAGAGTTATCCATATGACTGTCTGACTTATTAATACTTATTAATAGTGCATCCCCACTTTTTGTACTGTAAATCTTCATATCACTGCACTCCTCCCACAGCCAATTTCAAGCTATCAACTTAATATTATTAGAGTCAAGGGATACACAGTAGTACAGCACCATTTACTATTTCCAACACAAAGATACAACAGACATAAATAATAGAGCACAATATGAAATGAAAAATAATTATCAAGTGATATCCCCCCTCCCCAGTGGAATCAAATCCAGGGCTTTCCTACTGAGATATATCCCTAGCCCTTTTTAATTTTTTTTATTTTGAAATGGTCTTGCAATTGCCTAGGCCTCGGACTTGCCATCCACCTGCCTTAACCTCCAACAATGCTGCTGGGATTTTTTCTGGAACTTATTAAATTGTAACCTTATGTAATTTAATTTTTGAGATGTCATTCATATACCATAAAAGTCATCATTTTAAAGTGTATGATTCAGGCCAGGGAGATAACTCAGCGGCACAGCACCTGCCTGGCAAGCATGAGGTCATGAGTTCAGTTCCCAGTACCAGAAAAAGTATATGATTCAAAAAAAAAAAATAATAAAGTAGGGTCAAGGATATAGATCAGCAGCACAAGCAACTGCCTGGCAAGCACAAGGTTCTGAGTTCGAGTCTTAGTACCAAAAAAGTATATGGTTCGGTAGTTTCTAGTATTCACTGTTGTGTAACCATC